TGAAAAACTTGGAAACAAATTAAAAACTAATTCAAAGGCTTTCTGGCAATACATAAAAGGCTACGGAGCAGACTCCTCGGGAATCACCAAAATTGTCTTCAATAATGAGGAGTTATTAGACGACACTGAGAAAGCTACCTGTTTAAACAACTACTTCCTTTCCGTACACTTGCCGAAATATAGCTCTAGTGCTTCGCAATGTACAAGTTCCGTGCCGAAAATGCAATCAGTAGAGTTAAGTGTGAATGGAATTAGGGCATAACTAAACAAACTTACCGATAATAAGGCAATTGGACCAGACGGAATTTCACCTTGAGTCTTAAAGCAGTGTGCTGAGTCAATTTCTCTTTACCTGCACGTAATCTACACAAAGTCTTTGTTCTCCGGTGCCCTCCCAGACGACAGGAAAATTGTACATACAGTTCCTATTCATAAAAGTGGGTCCAAGAAAGACGTAGCCAACTATAGACCTATTTCACTTACGTCCATACCCTGCAAGTTATTAGAGCATATTCTGTATAAAAAAATAATGGTACATTTATCAACAAACAACTTGCTGGCGTCTCAACAACATGGTTTTCTTAAGAGCTTATCTTGTACAACACAATTAATTGAATATAACCGTGATTTAGTATCTGAAATAGACCATAGCGGACAAATCGATTGCCTTTTCCTGGACTTCCAAAAAGCTTTCGACACTGTGTCGCACTCTTTTCTTTTAAGTAAGCTTGCAGCGCTAAACATTGACCGCGAAGTTCTGGTGTGGATAGAAAATTACCTTTCAGGCCGCCAACAGTGTGTAGTATTAAATGGCGAAAAATCAAGTTTTGTAAACATCGCTTCAGGGGTGCCACAGGGCTCAGTCCTAGGGCCACTTTTATTTTTAATATATATAAATAACATTTGCTCAGGAATTGATTCTAATATACGGTTGTTTGCAGATGACTGTGTCTTGTACAGGAAAATTAGAAATGAGAGTGATGTCGCCCCTGCTCCAAAGCGACTTATCGCGCATCCAAGAATGATGTTCAAGGTGGAAAATGACATTAAATGCTAATAAATGCATTCATGTTACTTTCACGCGTAAAAAAAAAACCGAGTTAGCTTCAGAGTATGTAATCTGCAATAGCATAGTAACACAACAACCGCATTATAAATATTTAGGTGTAGCTTTTTCAGCCGACTGTTCATGGAATGCACACGTTGATTCAGTTGTTGCGAAGGCCGCCAAGTCACTAAATTTTATACAGCGCAGCCTGACACAAGCGCCGGCATGTTTAAAATCAACGGCGTATTCAACATACATACGCCCTATGCTTGAATACGCCTGTGCCGTGTGGGACCCCTGGCAAAGTACTTTAGGTTACAAACTTGAAAAAATACAAAATAAAGCTGCAAGGTTTGTCCTAAGCCGGTACTCAAGAAACGACAGTTGCACCAATATGAAAAATGAACTAGGGTGGGAATTACTCTCATCACGTCGAAAGAAACTGCGGCTAAAGCTCCTGTACCAAATATTTCATGGTAAAACTAGCATTCGAAAAGAAAAGTAGCTTCACAGTCCTCATTATATCTCTTCGCGAAATGATCATTGTTTCAAGACTTTAGAGTATCGTACCAGATCTAATTTGTATGCTAATTCGTTTTTCGTTCGTTCATTAGAGAATGGAATCACTTATCAATTGAACAAGTGTGTTGTATTAATGAAGATGTGTTTTTCTCGACATTGTACCCCCCTGCTGCAGTGCCTTCGGGCTAAGCGGGGTAATCATTGAATAAAGAATAAAGAATAAAGAGTGTGACAAAGAGAAGACGGCGTTCGCGACGCTATGAGCTCTTTGAATTCAATGTAATGCCTTTTGGCCTGTGCAATGCGCCAGCCACATTCGAACGAATGATAGACACGGTACTGTGGGGATTAAAATGGAAGACCTGCCTTTGCTACTTGGACGACATTGTCATCTTTTCGTCCAGCTTCTCACAGCAGCTGGAACGACTAGATGAAGTCCTCACGTGTTTAGCTAAGGCCGGTCTCCAGCTCAACACTAAGAAGTGTTGGTTTGCCAGTCACAGCATCAAGGTATTAGGTCACGTCATCAGTCAACATGGCTTTGAGCCCAATCTCGACAAGGTTGCCACGGTACTACACTTTCCTACACCAGCCACACCCAAAGACCTCCGCAGCTTCCTTGGCTTGGCGTCGTATTTCCGCCGATTTGTACATGATTTCGCTACTATTGTGGCTCCTCTGCACAAACTTCTGACCACGAGCGCACCCTTTGTCTGGTCGGATGACTGCGAAGCCACTTTTCACACCCTCAAGCGATGCCTCATATCACGGCCAGTGCTTCGCCATTTCGACACTGCAGCACCTACTGTGCTACACACTGACGCAAGTGGACTTTGCATCGGTGCTGTCCTTCTTAAGTGGAACCACGCTTCCGAAGAACAAGTCGTGGAATACGCGAGCCGTACTCTGTCACCTTCTGAGCGAAATTACAGCATCACTGAGCAAGAATGTATCGCCATCGTGTGCTCCGTACAAAAGTTTCGCACTTATTTATACGGCCGGCATTTCACAATAGTGACTGACCATCATGCTCTGTGTTGGTTATCGTCACTCAAAAATTTGTGGGGACGCCTTGGCCGTTGGGTACTACAATTGCAAGAGTATGACTACAGCGTCAAATATACACGGGGTCGAGACCACCAAGATGCCAACGCTTTGTCACGTTGCCCGCTCTCGCAAAGCGCCGAAGTGTCACCTTTCATCTGTTCGTCACCGCCCACCAAAGTGATCAAACAGACGGCTGCTTCTTCGATACAGCTGCCTCGGCGGACCTTCTTTCGTCCACAGATCTCGCGCTCCAACATGTCGATACCTACTGCCGCACAATCATCGGTTGGCTCACTGGCTTATCGCGCGCTCCAAACAGCCGCCTAAGACGACAACTTGCCCGTTTCAAGCTTCAAGATGGAACATTGTGTTGGCAAATTTACCATTCTCTCGGTAACCAATGGGTTCCCGTCATTCCTCGCTCCCTTTGTCTGGAAGTTTTACAAACGTTTCATGATGATGCGACAGCTGGCCACTTAGGGTTTCACAAGACTTACGACCACCTCAAGACTCGCTGCTTTTGGTTTGGCGTCACCATTTCTGTCGCCAAGTACGTCACTTCCTGCGCGTCATGCCAGCACCGAAAACGTTCCACGTGTCTTCCCGCGGGGCCATTGCAACCACTGCCATGCCCGCCCACTCCCTTTGAATTTGTGGGCATAGACTTATACGGACCTCTTCCGCTTACGCTATCCGGTCACCGTTGGATTGTTACGGCCGTGGACCACCTTACTTGCTACGCGGAGACGGCAGCTCTTTCGTCTGGTGCTACCTCTGAAGCCGCCGATTTTTTTCCTTCGCGCCATTATTTTAAGACATGGCACACCGCGTGTGCTTCTTAGTGGCCATGGCAAGACATTTCTTTCACATGTGCTTGATGAAGTCCTCCAGGCTTCTAACACCATCCACAAGACCACATCAGCGTATCACCCAGAAACTAATGGTCTGACTGAGCGTTTTCACCGAACTTTGTCCGACATGATCTCTATGTACGTGCAACCGGATCATGAAAACTGGGACACTATACTCCTTTTCGTAACGTTCGCATATAATACTGCCATACAGCGTACGACGAATTTTAGCCCTTTTTTTCTCGTGTATGGCCGTGTATCGGCTTTTGTTCTGGACACCACCTTTCTGTCCACATCTTCCAATACATGTTCATCTCTCCCGGAAGAGTTCGCCGCTCACGTCGCCCACTGCCGTGAAATCGCCCGCGCCAACACTGCTACCATTCAGGACAAGAGAAAAATCAACATTGATGCAAAGCGTCAAGTTGTTGTGTTCCACCCAGGTGACGAAGTCCTTTCGTGGACACCTGTTCGTGCACTTGCGAAAAAATTCCTTCACCGATATCTTGGTTTTTACACCGTTCTGGAAGAAACATCCGAAGTCAACTATCGCGTTGCTCCTGTCAACGCGGCTCCTGATCGTCGTCGCCGCCACACCGAGATCGTCCACGTCTCTCGACTCAAACCATATATTCGTCGTTCCAACCCTTGATGGATGATATGTGGGGTTTAACGTCCCAAAACCACCATATGATAATGAGAGACGCCGTAGTGGAGGGCTCCGGAAATTTCGACCACCTGG